AAGAGCCTTAATGACCGCTTATCTATCTAAGAATACATATATCAATAAATGGAGCATATAAACTTTTTGAAAGATTTATGCTAATGTACTACTTTAAGATTTCTCAAAAGTTTTGGCATTAAATTTGAGTGGCTGCGAATGCCTGTAGGTACTTTCGTCCATTTATAAAGGCAGATTCATCTTTCTAGTCCTGAACTAAAGTTGAAGTTGAGTTAAGAACCTAAAAATGTTTAGAACTTTTCTCAGTTGCTCTCACATAGAGAGAAACACAACATCAACCACATGGAAGATAAGTTCTGAACTAGAACGATGAATCCGCCTTAACAGTTATTTTGGTATGCAAAGTGGCCTGATATATTTTGTTTTTATTGGTTACAAATTGACTTTTTGGTGTGTAAACAGCAGAAAAAATGTACAATTGAACATTTCTAGAGTAGTTCGAGTTAGTTAGTCGAGTTCAGGACCATTTCGGGACTAGTTCACGACTATTTGGGAAACATTTCGGGACTATTTTTGGACCATTTCGAGGCTAGTTCAGTACTATGTCAGGAGCCGTTCGGGAATAGTTCGGAATCATTTCGGGAATAATTCGGCATTATTTTGGGGCTAGAAATTTCAAGATTATTTCAGAACCACTTCAGGTTAATTTTAGACCTAGTTCGGGATCATTTCGGTGTAGTTCGAAACTAGGCACGAAATTATCCTGAACAGGTTCCGACAAAATGAATATAATGAATTAAAATTGAAGTAAAGTTGATGTAGTATATTTTAGGTAAAATCTATAGGCGGCTGCATTGGGTATTGGGTGGTTTTGAGCTTTAAAAATGGACGAGATTTACAACCTTTTGTGCTAATTTTTTCCCATAAAAATCTGTTCAATTTTTTTTTCTGTTCTATTTCGCTTATTTTTTTTGCCGTTTTTTTTGCAACTTTTTACTGCACCGCCCATTACATTAGAGACCGCTCGTTTTGTATACAATGATGTCTGTCGTAGCGGGTACTTAATGCAATGTGCTGATCTCTCGCGTGCCATATAAACTATGGCGATCGTACTCATTTTCATTTTGTCAAGGTGCACATTGTTAAAATAAATTGCAAAATTACACTTCATTTTCATTGGACTTTGCGCAATGCACAAGCGGCGAATAGAAAAAGCAGCAGACGAAAAATAGTTTGCAAAAAAATTACACAAAAAAAAAAATAAAAAATAAATCGCATAAACGTTGATAGCTTTTGTGGTTTATATTCCTGCGTGTTGAAAATGTTTATTGTTGATTTTGACAAATGCTTTCGAGTGTTGCCAAACCTCAAGCATATTGGCATGGTGGTGATAATTAGAAAAAATTATATGTACGTTGGTAATTTAATTTATGTATGTAAATCGGTGGATGTACTATGTTGCATGGCAAATAGGGCGAAAGACAGTTTTATTTGTCATTGCTTTAGTTTTTGCTTCTGTTTTTGCATTTTGGGAGTTGAGCCAAGAGGCAATTCATTTTTTTTTTTTTTATTTAATTAATTGCATTTTTTTTTTTTTTTTTTTGTTAAACTGCAACTAGTCAAGAGGAACCACCGGCAACATGCCGTGCAAAAGCGATTTGTTCCCCCTTGGTGATTGCTTTACAATGTAAATTTTAATTTAGCAACCAATAGTTTTCACTTAAATGGGTCATAATATCCGTTAGAAATGTAGATCGGAAGGCAAAAATAAAACAAACAAAAAAATTAATGCTCAGCCAACAGCTGCGAGTGAAACAATTTTATACGTATGTATGTAATATATCATTTTCGACTTTAATTAAAGCGTAGGGAGCACATAACGTAACATAACAAAATATGAATTCTAATAAACACAGCTAACGACAGAAATAAACACAGTGAAACTAAAATTTCTGAAAATACCAACAAATTCCTTTTAGTGACAAATAAGCGTCGAAAGTGTTCAGAGCTCAGTGCATAGATGAAATTAACACCAATAAAAGTGTAAAGAAAAAAAAAAACAAAATAGTCGTTAAAACTAATAAAAAAAAATTAAAGTAAAGTTCAATTTATCAAAGCAGCTCCAAAAATCAAAACTTATTCAACGGTAATGCGCCACTTAATCAATTTTTCACCACCACAAACACAACGTAAGCAGCAGCCAGCAGCAAGCCTATCGCGTGTAACATCAAACCGTTTCTTTGACAACACTGTTGCGCTTTTAACGCGCAACATTTTCACATTCTACACTGGCCAAAAGCAGCAGCATAGCCATCGTGTCAGCAATCACAAATTACAATTGCAGTGTTGCTGATACTTAATTTACCGTTGGGTGCACGCGTTCATCTCTTGCTGCCCGCATGTTACAACTTCATTTCTATTCCAATCATGCCGGTCGTCTGGAAGTCGGTGGTGGCTCAAAGTCCACAGATCTTTGGTGGGCACAACAATACTATCCACTAGAGAGTATAAAGGAGTTTGAAACCGTGTCGGAGAAGTGGAAGAAGTGTCTGGGGCAGCTACTCAAAACAGGTGCGGCACAGTGGGGGGAAGCGATGTTGCACTAAATACACTAAATTTAGGCTAGTTATAGCTAGTGTTTAGCCGAGCTTGTCTCCTGCAAATTGTGGTGTGCGTCCCCTTATGTTGCAACCCAAATGACAGTAGCTACAGTTTTACGCCGCTTCCGAACGGAAAATGAACTTTATGAGTAGATTTTTCAAGCCAGAAATGCACTCGGAGGTTGCCTTTGGGCGGCCGCTATTAGAAAAAGTTTTTCTAGTTTAGATGTTGCTCAGACCAAAGATCGAACCCAGATCATACGGCGTAGTAGTACGCAACTCTAACCACTCAGCCATAGTGAGCGAATATTTAGCATTCTAAAAATCGGAATTATGGCGATGAAAGATGCGGTGGAAATATTTATTCATATCCGACTAGAATTGTATAATTATTATTTGGGACTTTCTTGCTAAATAAGCTATGTATGCATTTTTCCGAGATTTATTTTCGCTGTGTTGGCTTGATTCCAGCAATATAATTTATAATAAGATATTTCTTTTTCTCATACGAATAATTCTGCCAAAAAGTAAAAATTTCGGAAACAAATATCGAAAAGGTATCCGTATTAATTAGAATTTTATCCTTTTTGCAAAATAAAATTCGAAACTTGGCAAAGAATTATTTTTCTAGAATCTAGATTAATCGATCTCCGATTTATTCGTTTCAAAAATCTAAAATACAATTACTGTCACGAATTAAGTGAAAGGAAAGCGATTACATAGTGTGTAAGAGCAATACTCTTGCGTTTACATCAAAGCTCATTAAGTCTGTTTCTATAAATCGTCCAAATTTTACTTATTACAACGGCCCAGTGGAAATCCGGCATAAGTCTTATTGAGCGTTCGTGGCACGAAATTAAATGAAAACCAGCTCAATAAATATAATGCCGCTGCTCAAATGGACATTAAGTTACAAAAATTGTAATGACAAAGCTGGGCATGAAAAAATTCTCGTATCACTGCGATAAAAAATAGTCATTAATTCTGTTGACACATGTCAATTGGAAAAATATTTTCGTCATTTTTGTTTTTATTTCAATGCCTAGTGAAAACTCAGCATAAGCCGCAGAGTATGATCGCAGAAAAACTTTCTAATGAAATTAAAAGAGACCTTAATTTTCGAAAACTCTTGCAAAATCTTCTTACCGCAATTCCTGATCAAATACAAGTCGTTATTGCGGCTAAATGTGAATAGACTCCTCCTATATACACCAGTTTTTTTTTAGCTTAGGGCATGTCATTTTTACAGTGCAGCAAAAATCAGTCAATCATAATTCTTCGCTATTGTTGCCGTTTTGCTAAATTTTACTAAGAAACTCATTAATATTTGTAAAAATATGCTGCAAAATTTCAAGAGGGTGGACATCCAAGTGATAAACTGTACAGGTTTACACTTAGTGGAATTTTTTTCTTAACAATTTGATTGAATGGACAAAAGTATGTTTAATTTTAGCCTAATTTTTTAATCATTTTGACAAATTTACACAATCTAATGCCAAATTTCCACCAGGCATTGAAATTAACAAAAAAATCTAGTTTATCAAATGGTACGTGGAAACGAACTTAATGTATTTTTTTATGTTCTTATTTTTTTTTGCATTTAATGCACAATGGTATCCGGCATAACAGCAAAAGATAGGAAAATGTGAGATTTGAAAATAAAAAATAATTCACGAGCATTTGAAAACTAACTTGCCAAAATTTAATCACTTATCGAGAAAAATTTCAACAAATATGTTTCGTTCTTGCTGTTGCGTGAAAAAGTACTTTGCCGTTGCTGTAAATATTCTTGAGAGCTGCAAACTGATTTGAGAATTTTAATAGAGAATTTTTTTTATGAATTTTTTGTTTTTCTTGAGAGATGTTTCTTTGGTTTCCCCTGTTTAATCTTATACGCGTCGCACCCTAAATCAAAAACAATCACAACTCAAAATGTTTCAAATTTATTTTTTCCACAAAACATTCGCTAAAAATTCTTTTTCATCACTATCCTCTTTATCTGAAAAACAAATACTATTAGGACTGTTTCTGTTTTACTTGCGTCGCTTCCGCAACATCAAAAGTTTTTGGCTTCTCCTGAACATTTGGAATTTTTTGAGTTGTGACTGTTTTTGAATTGGGGTGCGATATTAATGTATACCCATATCTACCACACCTACGCTAAAATTACGATTTTTTTTTTATAGAGAGAGTTACTTATTTTTACGCTCTAATTACCGAAACAGCCCAGAAAGCGTGTGGAACAAACCTATAGAGTATAAAAAGATTACATAAATGTGTACGTATGTACATACATATATGTATAATAGGGTGGTCCAAAAAAAGTCAAGTCGGAATTATAATGCTCTCACCCGCAAGGAATTTTCTATTATTGCTATTAAAAACTACGCTCTGAATTACAATAAAAATCCAATGGTGTCTCATATAATTCATATTCTTTTTTGCCTTTTTTTCTTACAGAAGAAGACGATTCACAGATTTTCGTGAAATTCTTCCGTTTCCATAAGTGCTATGACCTGATACCGACCTCTGCTAAATTGGTTGTCTTCGATACACAATTGCTGGTGAAGAAAGCGTTCTATGCGCTCGTATACAATGGTGTGCGTGCAGCACCACTTTGGGACTCACAGAAACAACAATTTGTTGGTATGCTAACCATAACGGATTTCATCAAAATCCTACAAATGTATTATAAGTCACCGAATGCATCAATGGAACAGCTGGAAGAGCACAAATTGGACACATGGCGAAGTAAGTGGCATTTACGCGTTACATAAATATTTTATGTGTGTGTATAAGTATATATAAACATGTATGTACATTAGGGTGGCCCTCAGTTATATGGAGCAAAATAAAAGTGCTTGGATTCTCGGTACCATGCCCAGGTTGACCGAGGTTTACCCGGAGTGCATATACTTTTTAAAGTTTTCAAGATTTGGATAGCTTTAAAAAAAATATTTTGGAAATAAGCAAAAAAAATAGGATTTCCATATTTATTAAGTAAATTCCCTACTCCAAAATTTTGGTGGCAACTCTATTCCGAAATACGCTGGAATTAATGGTACATATCTTCAAAGTGTATGTGTACTATGTATACATAAAAAAATGTTTGATTGAGATTAACAAAATAAAACGTTTGTATTGCAAGGAAGCGTGGCAACCCTGATGGAAAATATTTTCTGACCAAAGTTCTCAACAATACCTTTAATGTGATATCCATATTGCGATGTTTTAGATAAATTGTGTAGAAACGAAAATAAGTGGCAACCTTACACTATTATCCTAAGATATAACATTTTGTGTATAGGGAAAGCATTGTTTAAGAACCTTCTCTCTTTCTAAACAAAAATTAAATAAATATGCGATTCAAAATAGGTGGCAACCTTATTAAAAATATTTTTGAATTATGGATCTTTAAAATACCTTCCATTTGAGATATGTACATATTATGATGTTGTAACTAATTTCGAATTTAGTACCAGATTCACTGAGCTTTACCCGGAGTGCATATACTTTTTAAAGTTTTCAAGATTTGGATAGCTTTAAAAAAAATATTTTGGAAATAAGCAAACAAAAAATAGGATTTCCATATTTATTAAGTAAATTCCTTACTCCAAAATTTTGGTGGCAACTCTATTCCGAAATACGCTGGAATGAATGGTACATATCTTGAAGGTGTATGCGTACTATGTATACATAAAAAAAAAATTTTTGATTGAGATTACCAAGATAAAAATTTGTATTACAAGGAAGCGTGGCAATTCTGATGGAAAATATTTTCTGACCAAAGTTCTCAACAATACCTTGCATGTGATATCCATATTGCGATGTTTTAGGTAAATTGTGTAGAACCGAAAATAAGTGGCCACCTTGCACTATTATCCTAAGACATAACATTTTGTGTATAGGGAAAGCATTGTCGTAAGAACCTTCTCTCTTTCTAAACAAAAATTAAATAAATATGCGATTCAAAATAGGTGGCAACCTTATTAAAAATATTTTTGAATTAAGGATCTTTAAAATACCTTCCATTTGATATATGTACATATTATGATGTTGTAACTAATTTCGAAGAGGTGGCAACCTTATTAAAAATATTTTTGAATTAAGGATCTTTAAAATACCTTCCATTTGATATATGTACATATTATGATGTTGTAACTAATTTCGAAGAGGTGGCAACCTTATTAAAAATATTTTTGAATTAAGGATCTTTAAAATACCTTCCATTTGATATATTGCTTAAAATCCAAAATATTATCTGTGCACAAAAATTTCACCAGAATCGTTAGAGCCGTTTCCGAGAACCCTATGGATATATATATACAAGAATTGCTTGTTTAATTTAATAAGATTAATACATACTAACTATTTTTTATGGGTCCCCCATTTAGCATATTTCTAAGGGGTGAGACCGAGAGTGCGAGCTCTTTTCGAAGTACGTGCCACCCTAATGTACATACATGTGCCTATTTAATTATTTTGACAACTGTTTAGTTAGATCAGATTACTGATATTTTATTTTTTACTTACAGGTGTGTTGCATAACCAAGTTATGCCATTGGTTAGCATCGGACCGGATGCTTCACTCTATGATGCCATTAAAATTCTCATACACAATCGCATACATCGATTGCCGGTCATTGATCCGGCGACAGGCAATGTTTTGTATATATTAACACATAAACGCATACTGAGGTTCCTCTTCTTATATGTACGTACACTAATTCGAATTTGTCGTATTTAAATAATGAGATTTGGAATTGAATGTACATATTTTTATGTTGAAGTAAATATTAAATAATTAATTAGCTATGCCACAATTACATAGAATTTGTGATATAAAACACAGAAGGAATTTAAATACTTAGTATAAAAATGCCAATCATTTATACATTCAAATCCAAGTACACAATTGTTAAGTAGCCAAAGTATTCTCTGTATTCACCATTGATTCACTTGCGATTTTCCCCCATTTTTATTAGATTAATGAATTACCAAAGCCCTCGTATATGCAGAAGACCCTACGTGATTTAAGGATCGGCACATACGACAACATTGAGACTGCGGACGAGAACACAAGCATTATAATGGCGTTGAAGAAATTTGTGGAACGACGAGTATCGGCTTTACCGCTAGTCGATTCTGAAGGAAGGCTGGTGGATATTTACGCGAAATTCGATGTGATTGTAAGTATCACAAACAAAATATGCGAAAACCTCTAAATATTAAGTATGACAAAATGCAAAGAGCATATCAAAGAATGCAGAAAGGCGCCCACTTGTGAGGAAATTTTTAGAGGCAATTATAAAATAGATTCTATAGAGAATCATGATACAGTTGTAGTGGAACCATCATATTAGTCGCCACTAAATGAAATTTAAAGGCTTACTTACAATACCTTCAAAAATTCTAGTATTTAGAATAACCCGAAAAACGTTCACTCTATGAAAGTGTTTAAATTTAAGAAGCCTTATCAACGCCAGTTGGAAATATAACCAAGGCAATCGACAAGTCAAGGGCTGAACTTCTATCTATTCAGAATTGAACCCGAAATACCGAGCGAGTGTCTTGTCGTCTTTTTCCAAATCAAAACGCATTAGACCGTACCACCTTACAAGCAAGCAAAAAGGGTTCGCCGTACCCCCTGAGTATAAAAACATTTTGCAAGGCATTTTCAAAAAACGAATCTTTGGCCAAATATAGGAGTTGCTTTTTTAAATTTTTCGGCGACACTTATATACATTCGACAATAACATTTCTTAATAGTTCTACTGGAATAATCGAAATACTTCCCTTAGCAAAAGTTTAATCATTTTTGGCGCGCTTCAATTTATTGATATTAGGATTATACCTTAGGGTGAAAAGAACTGAGATCTAGTGGATAAGAGCGCGTACTTGAGGTCAATGAACTTTGGAACGAAAAATTGTCTGGAAGCAATTATATATGTAGATATGTATATAAATGCCCGGGAGACCCCCGCCGAACCAAGGGTCACCCAACCATCACCCAAAGCGGGCCCGGCTACAGCAAACGAGGAGACGGCCACCGGGGACACAGCCGATCCGATGGGCTAGACCCATTTTTGGACACGGTCTCAAGCAGACTGGGGGCGTGACCCGCTTGGGCTTGCCCACATCCGATCACCCCTGCCTGCCTGGAACTGGTTGGAGAATGTGTGACTTCACACTACACATAGATTTCAAATAAAAGCCTGATCAAACAGGCGCGGTACGGTACGGTGCGGTATAATCCCGTACGATATGCGGTATTAAATACCATGGCGGTATATGGGAGCACTCAAACAGACGCGGTATTGGAAGTTCGGTACAAGGCGGTGCACAGTTGACCGCGCGGTATAAGCAGATATATCGTAAGCAGAGTTGCAGTTAAGAGCTAGAGTTCTACCACATTCGATTAATAAATTAATAATACTAGATTAAAATTAACAAAAAATCATAATTACAACTTCAAATTATAGATGAAAAAATGTCATTAATAAATATTAATTTAAAAAGACGAATGCGTTACAAAATAGTGTACAGTACTGCTAACCTGACCTCGTCGCCCTTCGTATGGCAACAATGTTTCTTGCTTTACCGCACTATACTGCACCGCGCCTGTTTGAGTGCCTTTGCGTATATCGTTATCGCGTATCGTACGGTATTATACCGCCCTGTACCGTACCGTGCCTGTTTGCGCAGGCCTTAAAAGAGTGGATAACGACTTAACAAAACAGTTCACTCTTGAAGAGTTGTCACCAGAAAAAGGATAGTCGGTTTCCCACGGCTGTCGTATCTACGCAACCGGTATCTGGGGAAGGACTGTCACTCCAGCATCATTCCCCAAAAACTGTTTGGGGAATTTGTATGCTACTTAATACAACAGCAACTTTGTGGGATCTTACTGACCTATGTATGTACGTCACCTTTGATCCCCTACTAGACATATGGACATTTTTTGACCTCAGCTAGTATTGTTCGGAAATTTTGGAACTCAAAGTGACTGGGCCTTTACCACGAGTTGATTGGAGAGGGTCTAAGAGCCTTCTGAAGCTAAGCAAACCACAACTGTCATTACTGATAGACGTCTTTGGTTCGTTTTCGATTATTAATCACAAAATTCGGCTCAACAAGCCTTAAAACCATTGCTGAAGCAACTTTCAGAAGGAATATTTGGTGGAATTGTCTCACCATCTCCATCTCATCTAACCAGCTTTCGTAAGCACCTTTACGTCTTCGGTACATTAGTCGATAGTGAGTTTCTTTTCCTTTTTATGTTCTGTTCATCTCTATCTTTTACTCTTAATTACTTTTACTAGTTATCCGTGACAGGATTAGATGCTTTAAATAAATTTTTAATTATGCCTATGCCAAATATTCACACACACAATCACTTACACATAACCTCGCTTTACTTTGCAGAATTTGGCCGCCGAGAAGACCTACAACGACTTGGATGTCTCGCTGCGCAAAGCAAACGAACACCGCAACGAATGGTTCGAGGGCGTACACAAGTGCCGTTTAGATGACACACTCTACACAATTATGGAACGCATTGTGCGCGCCGAAGTGCATCGGCTTGTTGTCGTCGATGAGAATCAGAAAGTGATTGGCATTATTTCCCTATCCGATATACTGTTGTACCTGGTGTTACGCCCCAGTGGCGAGGGTGTAGGCATATCTGAGAATTCGCTACGCGCCTCAGATCCTATTTTGCGACGTAAATCGTCCGAAGAAGAAGATGCCGATACAAAATCGTCAGGCAGTCGTAGTATTATTGAAGATATACCTGAGGAAGAGCCGGCGGTGGTGACAACAGCGCCAGCGCCTCCAACGGGAGGCGAACCCGCCGTCAACGCCGCCGCCGAAATCGTCACGAACAATAGTGATGAGTTAGTAGATGCCTCAACACAAAAGCAGAATGGTGATAGTAATCCCGCTGAAGTGTCCTTTGCCGCCGAGGCGGAAGAAGATCCTGTAGATGTTGCCGACATCGAACCGGATGCAGATGGTGATAATGATGATGACGTAGTGACTGGGCAATTTGTGGATAGGAAAAAATCGCTTGGTGCGACGACAGACGAAGACACAGAATTGGAAGTAGCCGCATCGGCAGCGTCAGCGTTGGGTGGTATGCCGACAAGGACGACGCGTGAAATGGCGCTTGTTAGTGAATAAATTTATTATACTATATACACGTACATACATACATACATATACAATACATATTGCAAGCTACAAACATATACAAAAATACATACATATTTTAAGTATGCGTTTTTAATGAGCTAACAACAACAAATTATAAAAAAAAATACAAAAAAAAACATTTGATAAACTTTATTGTTGCTATGAATGCTTCAAAGCCTTACAAAACATACAAAAAAAAACTAAATGAAACGAAGTAACATAACGTTCGATTAGAGTGTTTAAGATTGTAGATAAATTTTGTGCAAAAAGCTGCAAAACATAACAGCGACATTGGCTCGCTAATGCTCGTGCGAGTAGGGAATTCCTACTAGGAATGAAAAAGAAAACTTCTTTTGATCCGCGAAAATTGCAGCCTGGAAAAAGCGAATATGGGCATACTGGCTGCAGCGGAGCAAAGGCAGGTGTTATAGGCAAGCTTTTAAAACAGGCTTTACAAATTCTTATATATATTTAAACAAAGAAAACTAGTTTTATAATTTAAGTAGAAATCATTGGAAAATAGCGAAACATAATAAAATAAAGCTTAAGTAAAGCAAATTGCTTGTATAAAAGAAAATCATTAAAATTTTACAAATTTAAAAATCAGCAAGAAACAGGTAAGGGATATAGCATTAGCTGCGATCGATTGTAAGTAAATATGCGCCATGATTGGTCAAGAAAGCAAGACAAAGAGAGCTCGGTAAACGCACCGAACTAATCTCCACATGCGAGCACACTTGCATACATACAAATACTACTATACATATACATAAATTCAAACACGAAAATAGAAATAACACATATACATACACACACACACACTCATGTGGCAAGGTAAACATAAATTTAAATTTTAAAGAAAGGTATTGCAGACTACCCAATTAACTAACTTAAAATACAAAATTAAAAAAAAAAATAAATAAAATAAAATTAATTAAAAACTTAAAACAATTATTTTAATTGCAAAACAAATACAACAACAAGAAACAAAGATTTCATACCAATAAAAGCAGCAACAGAATACAGCAGACATACACGCAAACATACATATAAACAAAGCATAGTTTAAGTAGCGGATGTAATGCGTGCGTGTCGAGCAGATAAATATCTATGTAGTAGAACACAAAGGCGCATGCGCGCATATAATTTAGTAGCAAAAGAAATGTTATACACTTTTTACTACATACAACAAAACTACAAAGAAACAAATAAAAAGGAAATTTAAATACAAAACTAAAGTTGATAATTTTTATAAAAATTAACTATTTAACTATTATCTACTATTCTTATTATTATTATTATTATGTATTGCTAATTCGATTATGATTATTATCATTATTGCTATATTATAATTATTGATTACTATAATTATAATTACTGCTATTATAATTATAACATTAAATAAAAAAAAAACTGAAATTTTAAAACATTGAATTAATGCTGTATGTAAGCGAGTAAATACCATTAATTATAACAATAATAACTAAAATAATAATAATAATAATGCAAACAAACACAATAAAGATCTGTGGTTTAATGAGTTATTTAATATACATATATGTACATTAGACTGCATCACTCCCCATAAAAAAAAAAAAGCGGTACTGCTTTCCATTGGAATTATAAAATCTATTATATTTTAAGACGCCCACCAAAATATTGCGGAAAAATATTAGGATTTAAGCGAGCTGGACCGATTTGAAAATACCTCCAAAAGTGGAGTTTTTTATGATTAAAAATAAAAAAGAGGTTTTTTTTTAAATCCTCTCAAATGACAAAACGGTTTAAGCTTAAAAAATTTTCGGAATCGTAGTAATGAGATTTTTTATGATATTCTTTAACTTTTTTCAAAGATTGGTATAAAAAATACTTGAATAACTGAACCTAAACTCTTCTGATTTAGACTTGTGAGGTATCATTGGTAAGGTATTTTCTTACCTTTTTTATTTATTTGCTAAAAAGCTCATTCAAAAGATGAAAGAGAAAGGTAGGATGAACGAACATCAGTCAAAGTTGAATTAAGATGTGTTGGTATTTGAAAAAAAAGGGATACGAATGATTTTTGCACATAAATAAAAATAGTGGAAAAATACCTTTCTACCAAGGTAAGTCTAAATTAGAATAGTTTGGGCACAGTTATTTAAATTTTTCGTAAATCAATCTTTGAAAATAGTAAAAAAACAGCATCAAAAATCTAATTGTTACGATTCCGTTGAAAAGATTTTTAAACATTTTTATACAGATTTTTTAAGCCCAACCCTATTTGTCAACTGAGTGGACTATCTTCAAAAAGTTCTTTAAGAAACTATTTTTATTCATAAAACACTCCATCTTTGGAGGTATTTTCAAATCGGTCCAGCTCGCTTAAATCTCAATATTTTTCCAATATATTTTGTTGGACGTCTTAAAATATAATAGATTTTGTAATCCCGGCGGAAAACCGCCACTTTTTTTTGGTGATGCAGTCTAATATATGTATGTACATACATATGTATTTCCCCAGTGCTGCCCTTTGGCAATTATGTAGAACTCTTCCATATTGGAAGGTTTGCAGGTAAACATTTTGACATTTTTTGGTCGCATCCAGAAATTAAATGTTCGATTACGTATGATATTACTACTACTACTACTAGCTGCGCAATGTCAAGTAGGATACATGCCAATTCTGGTCCGTAGGATGGCCTTCGCACGAACCTAATCCTTCACACTCACTTGTTATGACAGTGCGAATCAGATTAGATACGTGCGGATGGCACCCGTCGGATACCGTTATAGGCATGATTGATAGCTGCGGTCCAAAATATGAATATGCACCGTCCAGATCACGAGCGAGAAAATGGTGGTGGCCTAGCGCACCATCACGCACCACACCGTGCAGTATCGTCTCCTCGAAGCAGACAACGACCGCAGGGGTATCATCCCAGAATGTCAGGGTATTGCTATACGGACAGGCGATGCCAAGCTCGAAATATTTAACATTTATATACCCCCCGTCACCAGCTGCCCTGCAGGATATCACCCTGAATTAGGTGCGCTCCTCAGAGGTGTAAACCGTATGGTAGTTGGTGACTTGAATGCGCACCACGATCTTTGGTATTCAAGCCTGTCAAATTATCGTAGGGGAACACACTTGGCTGAGCAGATAGACGATTTGACATTCTGCACAATGGACGACGACGCACTCACCAGGATTATGGGCAGCTGCTGCAGCTCGCCAGACATAATAATCGTCTGCGCTGGTCTGATAAACAGCTTATCATGACGACCTATGCTGACCTTAGCATCAGGATCCCGGAAATCCCCGCATTAGCGATCTCAATACGGAGATTTGGCAGCTCGTGAACGTACATAATCGGAAGAAGTGAGAAAGAGCATCTGAGGACATGAAACTTCACCTCTGGTGTGAGCAAGCTTTGGTCAACCGTGAGGCCATTGCCCAACCCGACTAAGCGTGACGACGGGGTCGAAATTTCTTTCGGTGACCATGCTTCGTCGGGTCCTGAGCAATGCGCGAACTATTTTAGCCAGCACTTCATACTGGATCCTCCGGCGGACAAAGCCAAGCGTCCACTTTGTTGCAAGTTCACATGGGAAATCTGCTTACGACGTGATTGGGGAAAATTTAAAAGAGACTAGCAGCTTGAGCAAGTCTTCAACTCCAGAGGTTACAACAAATTCGTACACCCTTGAAGCTATCATTGAATGAAACCGAAACATCAACATCAACAACACTCATTGCAATAGAATATTAGACCTCCAATGATAGCTTCAAGGTTTGTCATTTTATTAAAACAAGAAAAAGGAAAGGTGTGTAACAAAAAATAAACCTAATGAGTAATAAAATTATAGTTAAAAAAAACCAACAAGCTCAATAAAAATTGTTGAATATGATTATTATAAGGCCATAAAATAACAAAAGAAAAATGTTTACTTAATTTTTTTTTTGTTTTTATACGTTGCACATTAATGTAAAAAAATGTACAATTAATTTTTTTTCATTAAGTTCCGTTAAAAGGTTTCAAAAATACAGCACTTTAAAGAAAGGTATGTATGACGTTTTCTTAAAATTTGAGTCCCCTGTAAATAGGCAACCCTACGTCATATCGGCAAAATATGCTGCACGTATATTCCTGTCACCTAGACCTCCAATCTCTTCAACTTCCATCCAAGTCCTGAGACGTCGCGCACAGAGTTGGCCGCGGTGACATGAAATGCCTCATATATGAGCGTTTTTACACTCTAGAAAATAATTTATGCAACCTCAAATACGCGGGTTTTCATTATCTTCGTTGGAGTTAACAAATTTGCGTTTCACGGTTTTTTAGTTTTAAATCTGCTTTGAGCAATCCTATTGTCTAGCCTTACAAATCCGCTTTGGAACTTTGTCCTCTAGGCTTTTGTTTTTAACTATTAGTATGAGTGTTTTAGACACCAGTTGCGTCCCAGGTGCTTCACAAATTGCAGATTTTTCAGGATTTACAGGAAAAGCTGTTTTCGCTATTAATAAATCATATGGTGGCGACCGGGAACGACTTGCTGTAAAAACCTACAAATCGTGAAGCATCTGGAATGCAGCTACCGAATTAACACATCAACAAAAAAACTGGAAACTATCGGTCGGATCTTAATTGCCGGAAAAGCTTGATTTAACATCCGGTAATTTTCAAGAAACGTTTAACGTTCTATTTCATTCATCTTTTCAAAAACGATACGGAAAATGTAATTACATTTGTATTAATGCAGCGCTCGAAAAATAAAATCATAACTTTTATCCATATTTTAGTCATACATATTTCTTGATCTTTGTACAGTTTTTACAATACTCATTACGAAGCAAACGTTCCGACAAGTATTTCCTCTGTAATTTTAGCAGTTATTTTCACTTACCAGGACTGTTTCGAATGTGTGTAATCGATCATAATTTCAATATACATCGAAACACTAGTTATTTGTTTTATTTTTAATTTATTTTCACACTTTTAATTCACTTTTAACTTCTTGCTTAAAACCATTTCATTTTACTTCCACTTTGCTTTTAACTTTTAACAATTCTGTTGTCAAATTTTCAACGGTACTATCTAAAGAAAGACATGTTACATTAGGTTTGTTCCACACGAGCGATTACCTTACACTTTTGGATTGTATATGTCTTCTTCTTCGTGCGTAACAGTCCGGGCTTTTTTTCTGGGTATAAATGTGCAAGAAGTCAATTTGAAATAACAGCTGTTGTTTGTTTACAGCCGATAGAAAATTTTGTGAAATACAAAAATGGAAAATAGCACTAAAAGTTCAGAAATGTAGGTATTTGCTAATTTTATTAGCTATATAAGATAAATACACATAAAATCATTTGATTTCTGGATCCCGGGCACGAAAAGTGTTTTTTGAGTTCCACACGTTCTGGGCACTTTGGTACGAGTTGACAGCCTATAATTTAGAAGTTTTGTAGAATAATAGTTTGTTTCTAGTTTAAAAAAGGTTTATAAACTGAAAAATGTATGAAAATGTCGTTTTATAAAGCTCTTTAAACCTACTTTATTTTTTATGAATAAGGCCATTAGTGTATCCCTATCTTATTGCAAACCCTTATTCTCATAAATTCATTATTTTCATGAATTATTTGGCATTTTAGTTAGTTAAACTTTTTCTTGTTGAAAAATATTTAAAGACAAATATAGATAAATTTCAGATTTGGTAATACTTCGAACAGCATGCATTTTTTGTCGCTGTCACCCTGTACCCATTGCACATGTTTTTGATTGATATCAAATCAAAACAATCACACCGGTGGCGACTTTTAAGTAGAATATCCCATTCGAACCGAAAAGCTAAATACATTTTATAAAAAAGGGCATCCGTTTTGAAATCTCGCGACAATGTATTCTTTCGAAATTAGGGAAATACCAGGAAAAGTAAGTACAAACTTCTGTAAAAGCACTGCTTTTTTGTGTAATCAAAGTTTCTGATTTGGTTGTTCATTAGGGTCGCGCGATGATCTCGACAAAACCATTTGCTGTTGGAGAAACTATATTTGAGGAAGAGCCCTTTGTCTCGCGCCAATTTTCTTGGAACGCCGCATACGGGTATGCAGCTTGTGATCACTGTATGCGTCCACTCGAAACAGTTACGGAAAATGTGCGCCGCTTAGCGAATAACAAAGCTTTAGTAGTCCCTCTGATAGAACACGATCCAACCAAACCTTGGTTACAGCAGTTTACAAAATGTGAGCGTTGCAAAGTACGCTACTGTTCCGAGGATTGTCGTATAGAGGCATTAAATAAGTATCATCGTGTTGCTTGTTTGGGCGCCTTTCATTCCGATGATACACATCCAATTAATGTATTAAATGAAATATGGAAGTAAGTGGTAAAAAATTAGCAAATCGACTGCTGAGTGGAAGATCAACCTACTTATCTCGGCAGCCAGTTTGAAAACGCCCTATCTCAATAAACTGTTCAAGAACGCCTTATTTCTGAATTTTATTGAAAAACATCCTATCTCAGAATATGGAGGAAGAACGCCCTATCGCAGAATTCGGTACAAAACTGCCCATTTCACTTCAAAATGTATTGAAATGGGCTGATATAGGGCGTTTTTGAAACGAATTCTGAAATAGGGCGTTCTTCAATCAAATTCCGAAGTAGAGCATTATTGAAACTTTTTTTGAGATAGGGCGTTTTCGAACTGGCTGCCTGGATAGGTCGATGTTCCACTAAGCAGTCGAGATACAATTAAATTTTATAATCTCGATTTACACTGTATGTTTTTAGAAAAATGCATTACCCACCGGAGACTGGTACTATTATGTTAATTGTACGTTTGATGGCCATGTATAAGCAAAGTAATAACAAACAGCAGTTCCTCGAGTCACTCCAATCTTTTCAATCAGTAATAGTAAACGCGGAAAAACAAATATATCACAAGATGTTAGGAGCAAACTTTGAACAACAAATGGAACAGCTATTTTTGGCATTCTGTAGATCATTTGCTGACGAGGAATTTGCAGCTGTAAGCAGTGTATTAAAATTTAAAATATTGTTATTAATAAGCGTTTTAGTTCACTACAGCAGATGCCTTCAAGGCATTAATGGGTATGATTGGGACAAACAGTCAAGGCATCGCAACAAGTACGCTGGCGGAATGGGTTAAAAAAGTTAGTGATTTGCCACTACCGGAAGAAGATAAAGTAAAACTTGACGAATATATTGACGATATATACAACAAAGTTGGAGAATGTTAGTAAAATGGGTTTTGTGGGGTTGGATATGTTATTGTTCTTGAGTTTTATTTACTTTAGTCGCTGGCGAGTTCCTTAACACTGAAGGTGCTGGCCTCTATCTTCTGCAGAGTAAAATAAATCACAGTTGTATGCCTAATGCTCAATCTACCTTTCCTTACTCGAATGACATTGTGGTACTGAAGGCAGTCGCCCCTATACAGACGGGTGAAGAGATTTGCATTTCTTATTTAGATGAATGTCAATTGGAGCGCAGCAGGCATTCTAGACAAAAGGTAAGTCTATTCAAAATATGTTTCTAGGATTCTCCAAAATTTATTTTTTACACAGATCCTTAAAGAAAACTACATATTCGTATGTCAATGCCCTAAATGTCAATTGCAAGCTACTGATCCCGATGAGACTAGCGAAGATGAGGAAGATGACTATGAAATGGATATGGATGACGACGCAGAAATGTCGGATTAATAAACTGTTCTGCATTTTAAAGTCTATTTTTTATTATCGCGCATGTACATATATATTGTAAGTATTAAAATTATTTTTTAACTGGAGATACGTAAATTTGTTCAATACCCACTAAAGCAATAGTCCAGTGAAGGAGTTTTTACTCTAAATTTGATGTAAAATTTTTGAAATTAACCATTTAAGCACTTGAAACAGGTGTCAAATTTATAAGATTATTACTACTTTCAGCCAGCTCTACTATAGAAACACGTCCACGTTGTCTTATAAACTTTGCTACCTCAAGTAATTCTTCTTGCGACACATAGATAAATTTTCCTCGGTCATCTATCACTCCAGTTAGTGTATCATTGGCTTGTAAGTCTTGTATACGATCAATCACTTGTTGTGTTTTTAACTTAAATTCCATTGCCAAATCTTCTAGCACAACTACTTTATTTTCCTTTATATACTTTATGAAATCTTCCAGTAATTTCTCTTTCTCGGAATCTTCCGCTTCTTCGAAACCCTCTTCCTCGATCTTAAAAGCTTCTTTCATCTTTAAATATTCCTCATGTTCTTTGCGTTCATGTTCTTCCCGTGCCAAACGCTCGGCCTCTGATGCCTTACGTTCAGCTTCCTCTTCACGCTCCTCCTTTTGTTTACGTTCGGCTTCCAGTTTAGCCTCTTTCTCTTTGCGTTCTTCGCGCTGCTTCAATTCTTGCTCGCGCAGTAAACGTTTCTGTTCCTTTGCTTCCATCTTAGCACGCTTCTTTGCACCCATCTTTTCATCCATAGCTTGCCCAGATGGGATGTCATCTTCTCCATCTTCGTTGTCATCATTAGCGACTTGAGCATTGTCTAATGCTTGCCCTGCTACTGCAATTGCTGCAGCGTTTTGTCTGAGGCGATTGCGCTGATTTCGAGCAATCTGTGCTCGTCTAGGAACGCCTTCCTGTGCTCGTATAGGCACTCCCCGTTGAGCTGGTTTGTCAGGTGTGCCTGTGAATGTTTGAGAGACAGGTAATCTTATGAAAAACTCTTGCAATATATGCAACTTACCTGCATTATTTTTCCTCTGGAAAATAAGCATTCCTATGAGAATTACTAAAAGAGCTGTAGCAATACCAATTAATATTGTTAAATCCATGTTTGTTTTTAAATTTTGATTGGGAAATGGCTTGCAGATAATTTTGCCCACTCAACACCTGTGCTTTTGTCTTTGTTTTTGTAAATAGAAAATGAAACGTCAACAAATTGAACTTGATTGCCAAGTCATTTTTTGATCGTCCACAGGGTAACATGATACAAGAGTTTTTGTATCATGACAGGGTAATTCCTAGGCCTTTGAGGTTCGTAAACTCAAATGATTTACCCAGCCGACGTTAGCACTTCATTAGTATAAATATTGAGCCTCATTGCGAGAGTCGTGCCGAATGCAAGTCGTTTTTCGAGAGTCGAATCGTATCGAAAATTTAGCGCCATTGCCTAAAATTTCCACACGACTAGTGTATTAAAATGGAAAAACTTGGCAGCACTGCATAGTTTTCGACAATTTTCGTCGTTTACTTACGACGACACGACAGTAGACAATGATAATGTTGTCGAGGCGTACAATTCAGCCTAATTTACGACTTACGCAATGAGGGTGATTAAAATTGTGGTATTGCAGTCGATAGTTCGATTGTTCTTTACTGTTCGTCAATTTTTAGCGTTATTCGTTAGCCATACATTTAGAGCACAACTATACCACAAGATTTTTAGGCGTTTGGCGCTTTTCAGGCTTTCAGATACTCAATTCAGTTATTGCCGAAAGCGTGAGGGTCAAAGTATCTTCAAAGAAAATAAAACGCGAACTAAATTAAATGGCAAAAAACTGAAAAACAAATGATCACTCAAGAACCTATTCACTTATTTATGTACATACATAAATATGTATTAAAAGTAATATATAGTCTATGTATACATATCACTGCAATATTTTGTTCCATCGACTTTTTCTTATTCAATGTTAAAAAAATAGTTCATTCGAAATCACATTTCTTAGTTGTACCAAACAACGTAAATCTATAAGAGGAGACAACACGTTATAATTGTAGCAAGTGTGAACATCAGGAGCGTGCCTTCTCTTTTCATCCAATCGCTTAACGCATTTGGGCAAAAGAGGAAGCACGCTCCTGATGTTTCCACACGTTACAATTATAACGTGTTGTCCCTTCTTATACATTTACGTTCTTTGGTTGTACTCATAGTAGTAAAAATATGCAGCTTCTGCTGACTATAAATGGATTGTATTGAATACAATTTGTTAATAAACAATAACCGTAGATTTTTAATGATAAAAGTATTTTTGTATCGTAAACAATTTAACAATCCAGTGAAAAGAACCCGAAGGATTTAGGAATTCAGCGATTAATTTAAGGATAATCGTAACAATACTTACAGTAACGACATTTTAGCATTCCTTGGCGATTTCCCTTTCGTTTATCTAATGTTTCTTATTTTTTTATGAAAGTGTAGCTCGCTATCTAACAAAAACCATGTTAGTAAAAATTTTAAACTTTTTCTTGAAACATTCTGAGTATGTATGTAGTTTCGTAGCCCATTTAATTTTATTTTAATGAAGTGAAAATTTTAAGCAACTACGACTTACCATTGATTTTTGGAATTTTTTTATGGAAGGTGTTGTGTATTTTATCCATACAAAAAAGTGTTCAAATATATTTTGTTTGGAAGAAAATGCGTGAAAAAATTGTACTCAAAAAAATTCTAAAAAATCTGATTAAACAGTTTTAAATTTCGATTAACATTTGTTAAAATTGAGGAAAAAGTAAAAAAGAATCGGCCAAAAACGGCCTATGCCCATTCTTTTGGCCGATACGTATTACAAAGCTAGTAATAAAATACAAAATCAATACGTATTTAAATTAATATATGTATGTCGTTTCAATCAAAAAGATATAAGTTATTTTACTATTTCAATATCAGTATTTCAATGATATCACTGAGACCAACTGGAGAACCAGGTTAAAGTACAAGTTGAGAAATAGCATTTTTTCAACTTGAGAAACAACCGTATTTTCATACAATGAAAAATGGCCTTTTTGTTGCGAACGCTATGATCCTCCACTTGAGGTACTCTTGAGAAACAATCGTGGAGATTCGAGAAATACCTTTGTTCTTAACTCAATCTCAAGTTGAGCTCAAACCTAAATGTTTGTTGGGTATACATATTTTTTAAACAAACGCACTTTTTATTTACTTTAGTTTCTATTACACCCTGTTGACTGGGCAACGAACAAGGTAGAAAGAAAAGCCAAATAATTAGCTGTCAGATTTTTCTACATTGGCATACGTGTCGGACTACAAACGAATTTAGAAAATAGCAAATTTTAAGCATATTTTACTAGGAAATTTGTTTTAAAATAAGTGTCCATCATGGTTAAAACCTTAATCGCCGCAGTGGTACTACTTTGTGCGCTGCAAACTACGTTCGGATTGTACTTCCACATTGCCGAAACGGAACGTAAATGCTTCATTGAGGAGGTACCTGATGAGACCACCGTCATTGGTAATTGGGATTTGTACTTATTATATACCGTATCGATTACACAAAAGTTCTTTTCTTCGCAGTAAATTACAAAGTTGAATTGTACGATCCTCGTTCTAATGGTTTTATGCCTTCATCGCCTGGCATAGGCATGCATGTTGAAGTGCGAGACAGCGATGATAAAGTCATACTCTCACGCGTGTATAGTTCGGAGGGCCGCATCTCCTTTACTTCACATATACCCGGCGAACACGTAATCTGCATGTATTCCAATAGCACAGCTTGGTTTAGTGGCGCACAACTACGAGTGCATCTCGACATTCAGGTGGGAGAGCATGCCATCGATTACGCGAATGTAGCGCAAAAAGAGAAATTGACTGAATTACAATTGCGCATACGTCAATTACTTGATCAAGTAGATCAAATTACTAAGGAGCAGAATTATCAACGCTACCGCGAGGAACGTTTCCGTCACACAAGTGAAAGTACCAATGCGCGCGTTTTGTGGTGGTCGTTAGCGCAAACTTGTGTTTTGATCACTATGGGTTTCTGGCAGATGAGACACTTAAAGAGCTTCTTTGAAGCAAAGAAGCTAGTGTAAATGTGCACGCTGAAAATTTGCATACGGCAAAGGATAGATTACGCCTTTTATCTGTGGGGTATGAAAAACGGATTATGGATATAAGAGCAATTCTTCCGTGTGCCTACGAAAAATCTAACGAGAGTCCACTTCAACCAAATTCATCAATCTCATTGTCTCACAATTTCAAATGCTTACTAATTCGACTCTAATATCAATACAGTTGCTAGGCGTTACATTAAAATAACATTACATTATTAAATAGTAAATTTGTTCCGAATAGCTACAAAACTACATAAAATTGTATATAAGAAATCTACCTTCTTCTGTTTTATGATCTGTAGTTATAAACCAAAAAATAAATAAAACTTAATTTGTTGTAATGTAATGTCTCTTTGTTACTGGTTGTCAGTGTTATGTTGCTATGAATAATAAACAGAGATGGCGTAGAGCATCAGTTGCATATAAGCAAAACCAATGATTGCATGGGAAAAAATTGCATGGCTATATGCAGACCGCGTGACTTGTAATCAGCTTTTCTTACTTTTGCTTTTTTGTATTTTATTGTAGAAGGTCTGAAATGATAACAGTATTTATATGTTTACATGTACAAAAATATTTATATGCATTATTGGCTTGACGCATAGAGAAAAAGCTCAAGCAGCAGCCTACTGGTTAAATAGGAGGATCATTTAAATTAATGTTCTATGCTCGTTAAAATCGAAAATTATTTAAAAATATGTAATTAGTTACCGTTTTTAGAAGCGAATTTTCATATGCAGGACACTTCAGAGAAATTTGGATCAGAAGGGCTGGAGTATCCAATTATGACAATACACATTTAAATAAGATTGCCAAATACATATATGTACATATATATAAAACAAAATTAAATGGGTCAAACAGCTCTTGAATTCTTAAATGATAAGAGTCATATTTGCGCATGTGCACATATGTACATATTATGTTTGTACCTCAGGCAAGATGAACTACAAATAAAGCTGGGTGATAAAAAACCCTACATATTAGCTGATTACGCATACAAGCACATAAAGAGATAAGGTTGCAACGATTTTAAGACTAATTTGTAAAGCCAGCGAGAGGTTAATCTCTGAAGTACCTATACATTTGAAAATGAAAGAGCAAAAACAAATTGTGGCATATAAGATTTAATAAAAATTGTTGTCGTCAGAAGTAGGTGCAACCAAAAAAATACGTAATTAATAACAAAGCTGTAGACAGATTGTAGACCAAATTCGTTTGAGCAAAAACGAATGCAACGTCTTACCGATAAAGAAGCAACAGCAGCTGGTAGCGGTGCGACCGTCACCACAATCACAAGACGCGAGCGCTTAGTTCAAGTAGCAAACTGCAGCTAGGAGTAAAAATTCGAATGAGCGCTAGAGCTCTTTATAGCTTATTTAGTGTTTAGCAAGACGCGTTCGTGGGCGGTTGAAAATGTTCGAGCTACTAGTTGTTTAAAGTGGAATCGAAAAGTGGAATTAAAAAAAAAAAATGAGTGCATTCATATGATATGACCACGAAATTGTACTTTGTGAAAATTAGAAATGAGTGCAAGACTAAAAGATTTTACGCTATAAAAAATGCTGGCTTTTTTACTCAAAATCTACAAGGTTTATAAAATAGTTTATATGTAAAACGAAAATTCAAAACAGAGAAACAACTGATAAAACCGAAGGTAATGCTAAACATTCAGTGAAGAGTTCACTACAAATTAAAACTATATTATTGCGGTACGTTATTGCACGCCACCCCAACCACATTCGCCCGGCACCATTACTTGCAGCCACATTTAAAGGCCAACCACCGAGTAAAGTAGTCAGACTTTATCTCAATCAATCTCACCGGTTAGACGCACCGCGAACCCAGAGGGAGAAATGTTTCGTGCTTCGCAGATCGCTAGTGAGGAGAGTAAGTGCGTCACCTGAAAGTATATACACATATGTATGTACATATGTACATAGTAGATGTTTATTATTTATGTTTGTATTTATGCATCATCATGAACTAGTGCTAATAACCACTTAAACCGCTAGTCATCTTTCTCATAAGCATATCAGATTCCAACTCTGCTAAGCCTTTTCATAGGCCATAACAGAGATTACCCATAATCGCTGTTAACTTTTAATACATTATATTGACTATTTGCCATTTATGTTAGTTCAACTAAAAGGCGGAAAACAGTTAAATAACAAGTGAACTTAAACATATTATGCTTGTAAGTATATTCTGTCTGTGTTTAAGCGTTAAGGAGTATAGAGCGATAAGAATTTTTTGATTTACAGCGATAAGCTGATCACATTGTGATTTGTAATAAGATGCAGTCATGTAAGGCCTCTCCCAATGAGTAATGAAATATAAACATCTGTGTTCGTATGGAAAAGTAGCTTATGTCGAAAGGCTGGCTTTAGTATAAATCGGCATTCACAGCACACGATTGCGAATGACTCACTGGCGCTGAGCTGTTGAAGAACTTTTGGCAAATAAACGTGCAAGAAGTAGTTCCGATACTAGCAAGTCAATTTTCTTATTAAGTCTTATCAAAAAATTCCTTGTCGTTTAAAGAATAAAGGCAATGCCACATTATACTAAAGCCAGCCTTTCGACATAAGCTACTTTTCCATATGAACACAGACATGTACATAGTATATACATATACGTATGTATGTACATTAAACGGTTCCACCTTACAAGAAAACAAAAAAGGTCGTCTAACATACGGTCGCCTTTTTAAATTTTTCGGTGGCACCTACATACATACATATGTATGTACTTTCGGCAATACATTTTTTGACGTAGAATACGTCTTACCTTAGNTTAGGGTGGTACGTTAGAGTGATAAGACCTTGCAATATGGTGGGCAAGTACTAGAACCGGTTACTTGAGGTCAACGAACTTCAGAACAAAAAAAATTTCTCCTCGAGATAAGAACACCGATATATCATACTTTAAGAACCGACTGTATATGCCGAAGATACTTATGACAAAAAATGTAAAAAGGAAAAAAAAAAAAAATATTTTTTGCGAAATTGACTAGAAAAATACTTTAAAGACTTAGGTGTATGGCGAACTTTTCTTTTCTGGTACGGCCTAATGTACATAAATATGTATGCATAAAAACTACATATTGAATTACCGAAAGCAATTCGCGCAGTAAAAAAAATTAACTAGCTGTTGAAACAAAACAAACACGGTTGGTTCATTATAAAATTAGACTTAAACGAAAGCTACTAAAATAGCATGTCAAATTTAAAGAAATTACATAGGTATATTAAGTTCATGAACAAGTTTAGAATTTAAATCGCAATTACAGATTGTGACATATGTAGTTATTAGCAATCATAATGTGTAAAAATGAGATAAATTAGAAAAAATGAGTGCAATACTGACTCGAGGCCATTTTTTTTTACACGAAATAGTTGTACATTTTTTCCTTCAAAGGTTAATACTAATTGTTTTAAGATGAACTAAACATAAAACCTTAAGAATTGTTATTCAAAAAAGATATGTATGTATATCTACAGTGCCGGACAAAAGTATTGGTAAAGAGAATTTTTCGCAATATATGCAAAGTGTTTTATTCTAATTTATTTTCAATATTTTTTAATAAAAATATAGTTCGTACTTCAAAAAAAACTTACAAACAAGATCTCTAAACTTTTTTTTACAATTTTAGTATAACAAAGTGCAAGTTGACTTTTGGCAATTTTTTAGTGGAAGGTGTTGCTCATTTTCTCCATACAAAAAATAATTGTTGAACATACTATGTATGGAAGAACCTGAGTGAAAAAAAAATTGCCAAAAATCAACGCGATTTTTTAGCAACTTCAAGCTTGCACTTTGTTATACTAAAATTAGATGAGCTATAAAACTGCATTTTTTTTTTTTTTAATCTGAATTGAAAGTTGAAAATTAGTATGCAAATTTAATGGATTTTTCTGAGTTTTGCACAAGGTTAAGAGATTTAGTTTTTATGTTTTTTGGTGTAGGACCACCTATATTTTTATAAAAAATTATCGAAAATAAATTAGAATAAAAAACTTGCAGATATTGCGTAAAATTTTCTGTGCCAATACTTTTGCCCGGCACTGTATTTATTTTTAAACTATGAAGCTGAAAGATCATTTTACAAAGATTCCACTTAGATTTAGATTAGGTTAAAATAAAAAAAACAAATATTGAAAGGTAATTTTCATTGCCTATTCGTCTTTGTGAACCAAAAAATTGCATTGCCTTAATTCTAGAGAATGTTTGCCTTTAGTTGATACCCATCTTGTTATTCTGAATTGCACTGAGTTTTTAAAATTATTATTTTTTAATTAATCATGTTCTAGAAATTTCAAAGTGCTTAAAAAATGCTGAGTACAGATGTAAAAATTAAAAATGCAGTTCTGCTTATATTTGGCCGCTACTTTCGCGAGCATATTGATTTTTGTGTGTGTAAAAATGACTGTCGCACGGTGTATTCAGACTAAAAAAAAATATTTATTGCCATTTAAAGTTAGTGGTTTGAGAATGCTTAACAAAAACTAGTTCTTGTATGCCAAAAATTCATTAGTTAATAAAAAAATCTATTTTATTTATTTCAATTCATTATCCACTTATGTATTATAAACATTTCAGCACTGCCTGCACTTTTTGATGCAACTCGCTCGCCTCAGCCCTTAAGATCAACAGATGACATCACACAGGCTGATGCCGGAACATATCTTAGAAAATATGAACGAAGGCTATCATTGAAATATGGACTTACAACATCTTTACCGCCGATTAAATATAAATACCCATTGGCTGTGGTTTTTGTACTTTTAACGAAATTTTTCGAGGCATTCGCTGCTAATGGGATTAGAAGTGAGTATGATTATAACCATATATCGCTTTCAGTAAATGCATGTATGTATCTCAAATATGCTTAGGACGTTTATACATACGTAACTACATTTAGCACCTATGTATGTACATACTAGAGGTTTACGCCGACAGGCTTTGTGGCGGCGGCGTGGTCAACTTGAAAAAGAATCGGCGGCGGCGGCGACGCCGGCGCGTCTGAAAACGCCGGCGCTACTGCCCATTAGGTAGATCCAAAACAGACATAAAGCTACTAATCTTATCATGTCATCTCGTCAGCGTTAGGCATTGGCCATGCCAATTCAGATTGTAATTGTATTTAATTAATTCATTGAATTAGTTTTAAATTAAAATTACGTTACTTTCTACTTGAATTAAAATGTTGAGTGTCTGCTGCTGATGGATGGGCAAACAGAAGAAAGTCCGACGTATATAAATAAATATATCTCTATGTTCTCTACAAAGCCGTATATGTATACTACTGAAATTTAAAGAAATAAAAAAATTTAAAATGTTAAGTTATTGGGGTAATTTATGTCGCTATCAAAATTTTTTTGCAATAATCTTATCATCCGTTATGTTAAATTACGG